ATGTATGATTGTATTTGCTGCTGTTATTTAGCATTGCTGATGTATATATTAGTAATATGAACAAGATGTAAATTGGAGACATTGACTCTCACGTTAATACTATATAAAGCTGGCAAACAAACTATCATCTAAACTAGCTTGATTTATAGTCAATTTATAAGAACATTGTGATTATAAAACACAATATATGAAATTTTAAAGCATTCAAATCTCCATTACAACTTTTAAAACAAGATGTGTTTGTGAAACACTGATGCCCCCGTATGGCAGGTTATGGCGAAGGTTAAAGTTTCTCAAATGCAAGTCAAAATCCAGGCCAAAAGATAAAAAATGTTAAATTTGAAAGCCCTTGCTGCAACTGTTCAAGAGTTATGGCGAAGGTTAAAGTTTTTTAAAAGTAAGTAAAACATCAAGGTCAAGGTCAAAGTTGTTGGTATCCAAAGGAAGGTCTTGTCACAAGGATTACGTATGTGAAGTATGAAAGCCCTAGCACCAACCATTCAAAAGTGATGGCCAAGATTAAAGTTTTTTCGAAAGTAGGTCAAACTCCTATGTCAATGTCAAAGGGTCAAAGTGGTTGGTATCCAAAGGAAGGTAATGTCACAAGGATTACATATGTGAAGTATGAAAGCCCCAGCATCAACCATTCAAAAGTTATGGCCAAGGTTAAAGTTTTTCAAAAGTAGGTCAAACACCTAGGTCAAGGTCAAAAGGTCAAAGTGGTTGGTATCCAAAGGAAGGTCTTGTCACAAGAATTACATATGTGAAGTATGAAAGCCCTAGCATCAACCATTCAAAAGTTATGGCCAAGGTTAAAGTTTTTCAAAAGTAGGTCACACTCCTAGGTCAAGGTCAAAGGGTCAAAGAGGTTGATATCCAGAGGAAGGTCTTGTCACAAGGAATACACATGTGAAGTTTGAAACCCCAAGCTCCAACTGTTCAAAAGTTATGGCCAAGGTTAAAGTTTTTCAAAAGTAGGTCACACTCCAAGGTCAAGGTCAAAGGGTCAAAGAGGTTGATATCCAGAGGAAGGTCTTGTCACAAACAATACACATGTGAAGTTTGAAACCCCAAGCACCAACCGTTCAGAAGTTATGGCCAAGGTTAAAGTCTCATAAAATTTTGCAAAAGTGGGTCAAACTCCAAGGTCAAGGTCAAAAGGTCAAATATGATGGTACCCAAAGAAAGGTCTTGTCACAAGGAATCAGGGATGGGGTAATCGTAATCGAGTAATCGTAATCGATTGTAATGATTACTTTTTTCAAGTAATCGACAGTAATCTGTAATCGAAGAGATTTTCAATTACTTGTAATCATAATTTAATCGATTACAGCTAAAATTTTCAATGTAATTATAATTACTTGTTCGATTACTTTCGATTATTTTATACATAAATGGATGTTATTTTGGAGAATTATTTCCAGTCAGTCACACATAAAAATTTGATATAAAATATAAACCACCTGGTGTAATGTTTAGATTTCCTAACTTTTATTATTATAAGTTTTATGATGTTCTCAATAAATTTTGCATTATAGACCTACTGGTCTAGTATTTAATAATTCAGAAGTGTATTTCAACCATTTATTAATAAAATATACAGATTTTTCGTGTGGATTTTACATTTGACCCACTGTCCTCTTGCTGCATGTCCCTTTTCATATTTCAGATGTTGAAAAACTTTGTCTTGTAATAGAAAATTATAAATAGCAAAAACAGATTGAAGTGCTGTATTAAATATAAATAATTTGGTAAATAAACTATATTGTACTCGAAAAAAGAAGATGGAAATACTTCTGAAAATGTTTAAAAACAACCTCAAACTTGTGTTTTAATAACTTTAAAATTTGCAAAATCATCCGCATGTTTTCATTCCAACTTGTAAGGTTGCTTTTATATTAGTGAAAGGTTATAAGTGTCTGTAAGAGAGGAGTGTGTCACTGTGTTTGCTTATCTTAATTGGCTAATTAATTGACTGAGACATCCCTGACTTGCAGATAATGAGGTGTAAACTGTGAACTACCAAGTGTTTAACTTTTATTCCATTGAAGACAAACAATATTAATAAAACAATTAATATCTCTCAAAACATTTATTTCAATACAGAATGAAATTGTGCTATTTGTTTCATTACTTAAAGACACATTTAATTTACATGTTTATTACTAAGAGTTCTAATTTACTTACTTTTTTGAAAAAGACACGCACAGGAATGTTTAATATGTACTGTCAACATACGGGCAGCCCAAATACTTCTAATGAAGTAATTCACAATAAAATATTAAATAATTTTTGCAACAAGTCAATAAATGTGGAGGTTCAGATATCCAAGGTTGAAAGGAATAATTAATTCCTTTGCATATTTTATTGTAGGAATCATTGGCCCTTTTCACAAAAAATCTTACGACTAATACAAAAATTTTCCTATTCTCCAACAAGTATTTCAGCTGTAGTAGGTCACAAAGAATCTTATTATTCTAATACATTGGATTACAATGTAAATAATATCTGGGAAAATAATAAATATCTTATTAAACAAAAAAAATACATAGTGGTCAAGTTTTTATCTTATTCGTAAGATTTTTTGTGGAAAGGACCACATGTCTCCACTTTCCATTGTAGAGAATCCCTCATTTGGGCATTTAGTGAGAATGTTAGCCAGAATAAAACCTTAAAAGAATCTGCACTGAAACTGCAGGAACTCATTCAAACTTCAGTGGCTAACATCAACATTTACCATTTAAATATTGCTTTGATATTTGAAGGGATAAAAACTTGGAAGTAATCGATTATTAATCGATTACATCTTCCAAAGTAATCGATTACAATCGATTACAGGACTATAATGAGTGTAATCGATTATTAATCGATTACACAAAATTCCTCTAAGTAATCGATTATTTTATAAAATCGATTACATTTTTCAGTAATCGTGCCCATCCCTGCAAGGAATACACATGTGAAATATGAAAGTCATAGCTCCAACCAATCAAAAGTTATGGGCAAGGTTAAAGTTGACAACAGACAGACAGACAAACAAAAAAACAGATAAACAGACAAACAGATAAACAGACAAACAGACAGACAGGACAAAAACAATATACCCTCGGGATCTTTCGATCCGGGGGCATAATAAGACATTTGCAACAATATATATTTGTTGGTTTAGAAATAAGGTGCCTTATCAGAAGAATTTAAGCAATATTTTATACCATTTTTGGTACCGTTTTTTGATAGGCAGTGGACAGTTTTTTCACCCAAATTCCAGTTTTTTTATGGCTCCTATACAGTTTTGTGGTCTTTGACTTATCACATATATGAGTCACACCTATTGTGTGCTCCTTGTCATGATCAGACAAATAGAAAATCCTTAGACAATTCAGTTTGTAAATAATGGCCTTACAAATACATGTAGTATGAAAAACATCAGTCAGCATTTGACTTGATGATAGATTGTATTTGCTAACTAGGTTATTGTATCTACCATAGAACTTGCAAACAGTTGACTTTAAACAAGGCTGTTGATATCCTTGTTTCATCAACTTGCTTGTCAATAGCTTGTCTCTTTTAGAAATTGTTTGCACCTATAGCATGTTAACGTTCTTGCATATTTAATCAACTGGGAGACATAAACTCCACATGCAGGTGATAAGAGTATATAGCTACATAAATAAGGGAAGTTGACGATAGAAAAGTGGAAGTCTGGCATCATGTTTATCATAAAGTTTTGTTGTTGGGTTACCATTAACATCTTTTTCTAATAAAACTGTAACACTGAGAAACACTAAGAAATAACTTAATTAAACTTTTATGACCAGGTATATCCGTGACCATAAAGAAGGGTGCTTATTTCTTGTACATATAATTATATACTGAAAGTACCAAAATGGTACCAGGTAATTTTATTTGCTGTAATAAATATAAGGTAATAAGCTTGTAAAATGTACATCAAAGGACAGCTAAGAAACTACATCTACCATTATTTTTATACTTTTTGATGAAACTGTTTATTACCTGTAGATTACAGAAGCCATGAACTTTGATATCTTCTGCCTGGAATTCAATATTCTGCTTCTTTGCAATACTTTCTTGAAATCTTCCAGTTGCAGTTATACAACTGCCCTCAGTCAATTCACTGTAAATATTTCACCTAGTACATCACTACACTATCTGCATTTTATATAACAACAGCTATTACAATGTTTATCCAGGAAAATACTAGTATATTGCTGTATAATTATATTTATCTTATTCAAACTTGAAAATGCTTCTTAAAAAATACTTTTTTTAATGAGGAATAATTCATTTTTCATAAGTTGAAGATCATACCTTGGACATAATCTAGGTTCTGTGACAATCTGTGTTGTGGATAACTGGGTTCCGTCATTGACATGAATGAAAGTTACATGTTTTTGTTTTCTGATATGGCGAACCCAACCCTACAGTAAAAATGAAATATTTTAAATTTTAAGTGGCTTTAATTTCATTCAATTTTAAAACCATATTATGCCATTTATGCAGTCATTTGAATTGACAGCCCTTACATATGACTCAACGTATATCTTTTTTTTAAAAAAAATATGAGGATATCGAGTTAAAATAATATTCAGTGCTATCTTCATCTTGCTCAGCTCTCAGTAGACAATGTTCAATGATCATTAGTGAGAGAGATGACAATAATAATATATTAAACATATATCTCCGAAAAATCAGCAACTGTATCATAAAAACCTTTAAAATACTGTTATTTGTACATCCATTTGACAATCGCCTGGTGTTAAATCGATGCAAAAACCTTTGACAGTTTGAACAGAGTAGTTTCATGTTTGTCATCAAGGGCGCAGACATATTTACATGCCGCAGCAAATAAAACAGAAAAAAGAGAGAAAAATCAACTGAATAAAAATTGGTAATTATATTTCTGAATAAATTTTGATCTTTATTCCAAAAAATTAATTAGATTTGCTATTTTTTTTCTTTATAGTGGTTTTCTCATCCCATTAACTGCGTATCTTTAATGTCATGTGATACAAGGTGAAGGTCGCTAAGTGGACGATGGGTTGTTGTTTCAGCGACAGCAGCGATAAAGATGGAGATGATCCATATTCGGTAATTTATGCACAGTATATTTTTGTAACATTGGAGATTTTTCATATGTTGTCAAAATATAGAGACTCCTCCTCGGGAGCTGTGTAATTGGTAAGCTTAGTTCGAATTTTCTCTCTGCACCGGAAAAAATGCGTATGAAAGGTATTCCTGAAAATGTCTCGAATGTGTCCTTCTCACATTCCTATAGATAAATGGTGGTTAGTATAGCAATGTAGATAATTGTCAGTGCTTGCTGGTTACAAAACGCTATCTTTTTTAAAATTAAATGTCTCTGTTTTGATCTTTAATGTTTTTCAGCAGCATGTCCAGTAAATTTTAAATTTTCTAATTACACAGTTGAGAAATAAAAACTATACTATAAACAAGTAGGTCTGTAATATGAGGTGCACTTCTTTAACAAATGTAAATAATAAAAAAAATCTGTGCAGTCCGAATGCTGCATATTCTGTAATCTGTATGACCGTACTGGTCCAAACTGCACATAATTAATGGTAATTATTTCCTCTAATCCATCCACACAATAATACTTGAATTACTTCATTGCAGTTAACACCTGGCATGGTAGATGTGCTAGCATGTGTTTACATAAGTGCCATATGATCCAAATGAAACCCAATTGTGACACAAATAAACATAAGATTTTAAGGTTTAGTTACTAGTAAATTAAAAATACTTACAAATTTAACTTGCTTTCAACTCATAATATCACCCAGCATATTGTAAAATTAGTGACAATACACTGTTTAAAAATCAAAATATAAATCATAATCGGTCTCAAACATCTTATTTTACCAAGGCGCCTTAACATTGGAGGGAAGACGTGAATGTTTATTTGAAATATTTCAATGAAAAGGAAATAACTGTGTTTTTATGTTAAATGTGCTACTTGACTTGCAAACCTGCACTTCATAGTTTTTAAATTTCAGATATAAACATGTCAGTGAATTTGACTTTGTTTACTTGTACATCTCACTTTGAGTTTGAAGTGTCAAACTTTGTGAAAATTGACAGTAGGTCATATATACTCTTAATTAATTTCTGGACTCCAAGAATATAGAATGCAAGGGTTTCAAAAAAATTAGAATCGGGCAGAAATTTTACAAAAATAGGAGGCACAGTAACCTTGTGGAAGAGATTTTAATTAAATGTGTTGTCAAATTTTTCTCCATCAAATATCACAGCTGGTAAATCATGATTTCAGCCAGGTAAAAGTTCAGGGTACTGGCAGATTTTGAAAGGTCTAAAAATGATTTTATCATTTAATAATATTTACTAACTTGTAAATTTATAAATCAAAGGGAAATAAATCTTGAATATTTTTCTGCATTTTTCCTATATGTACTTTGAAATTCTATCTAAATCGGCCAATTTTCATGGAACCAATGGTATCGTGTTTGGACATATTATACTATATACATATAAAAAAACATGTTACTTATTACCCTAATTATTTGATTAAAGATTCTTTGGATTAGTGGTTAGAGAAGGAAAAAACAAAACTACTTGGAATGCCCAATTTTCAAACAATCAAAGCTCTTCATTTTTTTTTCTAAATATTTTGATGGTAATTAAGGCCAACACGGGAAGATGGTTTATGTACTTTTACTATTTTGTCAAGTCTTTGGTGTCTAAATCTATGTGTCTAAAGTCTTGTGATATTAGAAGGGATACTTGTATCACACTCTGGGTATGGTGTCCAGATTTATGCTTTAAATACCCACAATTCAATGACAATAACATGCCATTGAAGCAGTGATAAATCACTAAAAATAACTGAAATGTGAACATATGATAATCTTTATTTAAAGGCAAGTTTATAACAAAAACATTAGGTCTATAGATCAATTTGCTGACAATATTATACACAAACATACACAACATACACTGTATATGACACAACACATCACACGTAGATTTAAACATATGTTAAGAGGCATATACAGTACAGGACAATGAAAACTTGAGTCTTTGTATTGAATCATTGCTCCACATTATACATGACAGTTATGGCACATAAACATTGTATGATGATAAAATTAGATAGAAACAATAAATGGCAGACACAACAGTTTCAACACTTCTCATACCAGGTACAGTGTACTTATTTTGAATTAAAATCAAAAATGTTATATGTTAAATTATAACAAGCCCAATTATTAATGCATACATAATAAAAAATAAAAAATATTTTCATGAGGTAAGATTGAAGAAACACACTTTAAGTAACATTAATATTCTTTTATCTTTTAACTTATAATACAGTGTATTCTAAAATTTCAGGGTGGACCAAATGAAAGAGATCGACTTCTTCCAGAACCAACCAGTGGTGGCCAATCAGGACCAAGGTATGTATGTACAGGAGAACACAATGTCTGTAATAATCAGGGTTCTCCACATCTGAAAGTTTAACCATGGAGGAAGCTGTGCAAAAGCTAAATGCCATTGAAAGCACAAATGCATGATTGACCTAAGTTTCACTTAAAGGTTGATTTCACAAATATTTTCATTTCCTATGGCAATACCAGAAGCTGAATTTAAAAAAGCAAGATATAGAATTATATATCTAAGTATACTCTAAAAATGTTCATCAAATTTAATTCATAAACATATACACAGAATTGATGTTGCTTCTTGTATGTCAAGTTTTATTGAAATTCGATCAAAACTGTTGAAGGAGTAGCATTAAAAAAAATGGCCCACAAATGAAGAGAAGGATGGACAGCATCAATTTAACACTGCGTAAGCTTTTTACTGCATGATCTTTGAAAACTAACTGAGTGTACCACAACTTAAAAAGAGCAGAGAAATAAAGTTAGTATAAGTGATATTTCACTCTTTTTTTTCAATACAAACATACCATCTTTTTTCCGCAGTTTTCCCTACATATTGCACCGGTGCTAAAAATAGTGCCATGTGACTTTTCATACAAACTGGGGTAACTTTAAAAACATTGACTTGGTGATCCATTTTCATGTATAATTTCTTAGAGAGATTAGTAAAAAAAAAAAGCAAAAATGAATACTGTTAAATCACATATTTTTGAGGGGTAAAAATTTCAAGGTTTGAGGAAAAATATTGATTCAAGGGGATTTGATTTCATGGTTAAAGAAGTCAGAATATTTTAAAGTGTTATACCTTTAAAAATTGGTTCCTATATAAATCTATACATGAGAAAGTCTGAATTTTTCAAGTTTAACCACAGTGCGGGTAAAGGGAATTTACATCATGGAAGAAAGCATAAGATACATGTATGTCAAAAAAAAAGTTATAACAAAACATTTATGAAATGTATATTATATAATATATAAATGTATAATTTTGTTGAATTTTCTCTGGCCAAAGAAATTTGTTGGATGCTTGTCAATTACAAGACATCATAACTCCGCTGAGACTTATATTTTTAGTATTTTAAATCACATCTTACATAATGAACATGTACTCAGAAAAAAATTCACTCTTATGAAGAAATTAAAAATATCTACTCATATTGAGCATCAGCTGAATGATTCTCAATCGTCATGCTTTATGGCAATTCGTCCCCTTGTGGAGAACCCTGTCTATGAAGTACGAGGGGTTATCAAAGAGTTCGTGGACTAGCGCCATAAGATTAAAACCGCTTTAGGTACATCAATGAATTTTTAAACATATAGTTAGCATCATCTTTTCTATCTATAGAATAAACCATAAATCATAAGTTTTATTTTTTAAATAATTTTTTAATGTTTTTGTAAGCAATGATATGTCCAGGCGGCGCAACCTCAAATATGACGTTTTTTCTACCTGAGTGTAACTGAGAAAAACTCTTTTGATATGAGCATTTGTCATCAAAATATCCCGTTATTTCAGACATGTAATAACACACAATTGTTCTGTAAAATTTGCAATATTTACCCCATTCTGTACTTTCTATGAAATTTTATCATAAATTTTATATGGAGTGTCCATAAAATTAAGGCTTGAAAATGACGTCAAAAAGGGGTAGGGGGTTTCTTTTTCCAGCATTCTATAAAGTTTCGAACCTGGAAAAACTGGTATAGACCTAAGGAATGTTAAAACGGGCAAAAGAGAAATAAAATGCATCCAGAGTATTTGTTTTAAATGCCCAAAAAGATTCAGAGAGATGAAAAATGCACAGTTAATTTCGATTTGTAGTCAGGGTGTCAAAAGTCAGTCACGTTGAAAAGTGACGTTGATCATGTGTGGTAGAATTTGAACATCAACAAATTAAGTATTCTGGCATCTTTCCCTTTGTATAGATCCATTTACAATATTATATGCATTGAAAGCAGCTGTTCATGACATTATAAAGTCATATAAACAAGACGGGCTTAAGTCCTTACTTAACTCAAGGTAATCTCATCAAGATAAGGAGGTAGAGAGAGCGGACAATGAAAAACAATGACGTTTTCGGACGTCATGAAACTAAACGGCGACAGCGCCGGGAGATCATATAATGTTTTTTAGGTCACCTGAGTCACTCAGGTGACCTATTGCTATCCGTTTTCGTCCGTCGGCGTGCGTCGTGCGTCGTGCGTTGTGCGTTAACATTTGAACATTTTCAGCTTCTTCTCTGAAACCGCTCAACCAATTTCAACCAAATTTGGCATATAACATCTATGGGTGAAGGGGGACAAAATTTGTGAATTTCATGGTCCCTGCCCCCCTGGGGCCTGAGGGGTGGGGCAAAAACCAGTAAAATTAAGGCAATCTTTAAAAATCTTCTTCTTTACTCCTGGACATCAAGCAGTCAAACTGTTAGCATGATTGTAATAAGCATTGAGCCCTCTACCAAAATTGTGAAATTCATGGCCCCAGGGTAAGGGGTTCTGGAGCTAGGGTGGGGCTATATAGATCATATAGTAAAAGTGCATTATTTCTTCAAAAATCTTCTTCTCTGCTCCTGGGTATAAAATAAACTAACTAAGTACACAGTTATGATAAGCAAGAATGCCCCTTCCAAAATTGTGAATTTCATGGCCCCTGGGTCAGGGGTTCTGGTGAAAGGGGGGGGGGGCTCTATTGATTATATAGTGAAAATGCATTATTTCTTTGAAAATCTTCTTCTCTGCTTATGGGTATGAAATAAACTAACTAAGTACATAGTTATGATGAGCAAGAGTGCCTCTTCAGAAATTTTGAATTTCATTGCCCCTGGGTCAGGGGTTTTGGTGAAGGGGGGGGGGGGTATTGATTATATAGTGAAAATGCATTATTTCTTTGAATATCTTCTTCTCTGCTTATGGGTATTAAAGAAATTAACTAAAAACATAGTTATGATGAGCAAGAGTGCCTCTTCAGAAATTGTGAATTTCATGGCCCCTGAATCAGGGGTTCTGCTGTTAGGGTGGGGCTCTATTGATTATATAGTGAAAATGCATTAATTCATTGAAAATCTTCTTCTCTGCTCATGGATATTAAATAAACTAACTAAGTACATAGTTAGGATGAGCAAGAGTGCCTCTTCCAAAATTGTGAATTTCATGGCCCCTGGGTCAGGGGTTCTGGTGTTAGGGCGGGACTCTATTGATTATATAGTGAAAATGCATTAATCCTTTGAAAATCTTCTTCTCTGCTCCTGGGTATTAAGTTCAGTAACTAAGTACATAGTTATGATGAGCAAGAGTGCCTCTTTCAAAATTGTGAATTTCATGGCCCCTGGGTCAGGGGTTCTGGTGTTAGGGTGGGGCTCTATTGATTATATAGTGAAAATGCATTAATTCTTTGAAAATCTTCTTCTCTACTCCTGGGTATTATTGAAACACATTAAATACATAGTTATGATAATCAAGGATGCCTCTTTCAAAATTGTGAAATTCGTGGCCCCTGGATCAGGGGTTCTGGTGTTAGGGCGGGGCTCTATTGATTATGAAGTGAAAATGTTTTAATTCTTTAAAAATCTTTTTCTCAGCACCTGGGTATTATTTAAACAAACTAAGTACATTGTTATGATAAGCAAGGATGCCTCTTCCAAAATTGTGAAATTCATGGCCCCGGGGACAGGAGTTTTGGTGCTAGGGCGGGGCTATATAGATCCTATAGTGAAGGTGAATTATTTCTTTGAAAATCTTCTTCTCTGCCCCTGGGTATTGCTTAAACAGACTAAAGTACATTGTTATGATACACAAGGATGCCTCTTCCAAAATTGTGAATTTTATGACCCCGGGTTTAAGGGTTCTGGTGAGGGGGAAGGGGGGGGGCTTCTATTGATTATAAAGTGAAAAAGCAAAATTTCTTTGAAAATATTCTTTTCTTCTTCTGGTTAAAAAAGCAAAGAAGCTAAGTGTATAGTTATGATGAGCAAGTGTGCTTCTTCCAGAGTAGTGAATTTCATGACCCCTGGGTCAGATGTGCTGGTGTGAGGGTGGGGCTCTTGATAATTTAGTGAAAATGCATTAATTCTATTAAATAATCCTGTTTGCTCCTTAGTGTTAAGCAGATAAACAAAGTGATGATGAGCAAACATATGGTCCCAGGGTCAGAAGCTCTGGTGTTTTGGGGGTGGGGGGTTGGGGGTTGGGGCTCTATTGATAATATAGTGAATCTGTAGTAAAAATGCATTATTTATTTAAAAATCTTCTCCGCACCTGGGCATATCTGAGGCAAACAGAGTAAAAGTTTTTATAAGGAAGGGAATTTTTACCAGATTTTTGAACATCTGGACCATTTGGTCAAGTGTTCTGGTCCTGGCCAGGGCTCTATTAGTTTGTATTCTACTGAGAGGAGTTATTCCCCTTTGCCATTTACTTTTGATAATTTATCACTGTAAATAATGTACTTGAAAGGTAAATAGAACAAGAGAATTATGCAAAAACTTTTATTGTATAATACAAAAAGTACTTTCATAGTTTTAATGATCAGATAGACTTGTAAGTAGTAGATAAATAAAAATGAGACAAAAATTACTTGTCTTATTAAATATTCATCAAAGACCAAGAGATGCCAATGTAAGAGATTTCAACAAAGGATTAAAATAGTACAGAAGCATTGATAATTTGTTAATATACTGTATAGTGATAAAATGGGGAACAGATTAGAACCTAATTTATGAACTGTTAATGAATATTAAGACCAATTTTTTTGTTGATCATGATCACCATATTTTTCTTGCTTTTGGGCAACAAAGCTTCACCTTTCAGTTCATTTAATACTCTATGCATCCTTGAAATTGTTGTATCATACTCAGGTGACCGTTAAGGCCCTTGGGCCTCTTGTTTTATTTTAGAATAATTTGGAAAATTATCAACGTTTCGAGCTAAAATTTTCAACATCTCTTAAACTTTTGTTGCTTTATGTTTCTTATAAATTTTGTTAACACAGACTACATAGTATTAATTTTATCGCATCAGTCCACGTACTTTTTGATAACCCCTCGTAAATCAAAGTATGGTTGAATTTCGGTATCTTGAATACCATGTGTATGTTAAAGTGAGGTGGAAGTCCCAACCACCTTTTCTTTTTGAATTTAAACCTTGTTGTCTTGAATCCTCTGATATTTTGGAATTTTTTTTTTGTCCAGTCAAGTTTGAGATATTAAAGGAAGTTTGACTGTATGTATATTATATATATTGTAGTTAATCATATTTGCTTCCCTTTAAAAGCTATAATACACCATCTCAGAGAAATGTGCAGAAAGTGGATGAACCTTCAGCCCTAGAGAAAATATTACACAGAACAGTTAGGTAAGTACATGAATTTGAAAAAAAAAATGAATTTCAACAACTTGCATTAAAAATTTTGTCATCTTATTTTACCTCTAAAGTAAGATGGGAAACCTAGCTTGAAGCTGTGTAGAATTTTTATGCCCCCTCCCCCTTTCCTTAAAAAAGGGGCATATTACTTTGCTTGTGTTGGTCAGTCATTACATCGGTGTGTGAGTTGGTCAGTCAGTAGACCAATTATTGTGAGCTGAATATTTTGAGAACACTTTGCTTGACAGACATCAAACTTGGTGTACTTGAACTCCCTGAGAAGATGACCCTAATGATTTTGAAATCCAAAGGTCAAAGTCAAAGTACTCTAAATATAGAAAACCTTGTCAGTTCAATATCTTGAGAACCATTTGCTTGACAAACATCAAACATGGTGCATTGGTTCCCCTTTAAAAGTAGATGACCCCTTTGATTTTGAGATCACAAAGTCTAAGGTCAAGGGTCAAACTGGACATAGGAAGATATTGACCTCTCAGTATCTTTAGAAGACTTGCTAGACAGACATTAATCTTGGTACACTAATTCTTATTGAGGAGTAGATGACCAATGCAGATGTTTTGGTCAAAAGACAAAAAGTCAAGGGTCAAACTGGACAAAGGAATATGTTGACTGCTCATTGTCTTGAGGATCTTTCTTGACACATATGAGACTTGGTATACAGGTTTCCTTACAAGGGGTAGTTGACCACAATGGATTATGAGGTCACAAGAACAAAGGATCAAGGGTCAAACTGGACATAGGAAGATACTGACCACTCAATATCTTGAGAACCCTTTGCTCAACACATATGAGAATTGGTAAACTTGTAAACTGGTTCCCCTTAAGGACCAGTTTACCAAGTTTCATATGTTTACCCTTAAGAAGTTGATAATCCTCTTTCAAATTGCTTATGAGGTCACAAGGTGAATGGTCATTGCTTAAATTGGCCATAGGTAGATATTGACCACTCAATATCTTGAGAATCCTTTGCTGGACAGACATCATACGTAGTACACACTGGTTCGCCTTAAGGAGTAAATAACCCTTAATGATCATTGAGTCACAAGATTAAAGGTCAAGGGTTTAGACTTTAGACACTAGACATAGAAAGATAGTGTCAGCTCAGTATCTTGAGAACCAGTTGCTTTACAGACATCAATTTTGGCGCACTGGTACCCTCAAAGAAGTGAATAATGATCAGTCTTAGTACATGTATTATGTTCTCCTTCGACTAGTAGATAACCAACTGTCTACACTATCCCTTTCTAGTTTTGCCACAATGAGGGTATATATTTTTCTCAAACATTTCTTATTAATGCCAATTTTATGAATTATTAAGAAAAAGCATATCCAAACTCATTTAGTCTGAACATTTTTAAATAATTTGTGTTGAAATTCAACAATAGCTTCATTGATTTGATAATACATTCTGAGCTATGCGCTTATTAATATGATACATGTATATACCTTATTTCTGTACCAAAAGATAAAAAATTGAAAAGAATTAATAACAGTCTTTTTTTTTCTTAAGGAAAATAATAGATGTTTCTCCTGGTGATACTGTAGAGCAACAGGAATACAATGATAGAGCATTTCAGTACAGGTGTGTTTAATATCAGTGAATCTGCTGAACAACAACAACAACAAAACAGAAGAAAAACAAAAAAAAAAGCTAACAAACCAAGCAAACAAAATTAATCTTGAGTTTCTGAGGAAAAAAAAAGAAGCTGAATTAAATGTGGCATGCAGGATTAATTATGTTTGTTGTTGGTTTTTCTTGTTTTTGTTTTTTTTTTTTTGTTTTTGATAAGCAAGAGTTCTCTCTCTTTTTCCTGTCAACAGTGCTAATCTTGCTTCATTCTTTGTACTCATATATTATTTGAAACTTTAAAAAAAGAAGAATAATGTTAATTATGCTTTCTTGTAAATTTTATTGTTATAACAAGAAAAAATATTGTACCTAATAGAGACTACAGGCCTTTTATATGGGTGAAAAAGGGGAATAACTCAATTTTTCGACTTGCAAAATAGAAAATCGAGGTATTCCCCTTTTGGATATGTGAATAAAGTATATAAATTGATCAGTGCTGTTCTTTGACCTTGATAATATTCTGTACACAGTTTAGATAAGCACTATAAATACATTTAAGATAATCCTTGTTCATTTTTTTCACAGCAATAGAGTAAACATGGTCTTAGGTGGCTCCTCTAAAATTAGAGCAAGTCGACCTCCACTACCTAACAGCATGACCGCTCCACATAATGTACTTAGTTCTGCACCTGTGTCATTAGCTGACATTCAACTGGTAAGATTATTATTATTTTCTAAACACAAAACAGGAGATTCAGTGATGGAGATGAATTCAAGGAAATTAAAAAAAAAAATATATATATATATTGTCTTATTCTATTATTCAGGAAGATGAATTAGTTATATGCTATAAGCCACATATAACAGTTTGACAAGTAATTGATGAAAGCTGTTTCTCATGTAACTAAAATTAATGTAAAGCTATATAGAGACCAAGTGTGAAGTTAAGTATGGAAACATTATCATTAGCCACTTAGTTACAATAACTTTTATGAGAACTTTAATGATATTTAATTTTTTTTATTCCATAGATAACACAGGCAACCGAGAAAGCAGCACAGGCCTTAGGTAAAGTACGAGTACATCACAAAGAAGACCTTGTTGTACCATTTGGAGTCCCCTGAAGGTTTGAGGACTGCTAAGTTTGTGTTTAATATAGAATGCATGGACAAAGTTTGTGACTGTTGACTGAGTTACGTCAGAGTTTATTTCATTCCATCTTGTGTTACGACTAAGTCAGTGTTTGTTCAGGGAGGACTGAAATCGCTATATTTCAGTCTTATTTTTAATGATTTTATAACATTTTGTGTATTACATGATATTCCACTTTACCTTAATTCAAACTGTATAGATTATGATAATACTGTAAACATACTTATTTTAGTGGTGATTATATTTTAGCACCCCTTGTGTTGCTCCATATGCTACGTATGTTGCTGCTAATTCATGTACATACTAATTCATGATTTAAACCATTACTATCGTCTATAAGACCCAAGTGTGTTAATTTATAATTGCACTTATCAGTTGAGTATGAAGATTTTGCTAAATTTTGAATACACTCAATTTATGTACATTTACAGTCAAGTTTTATTTTGCAACAGTGAATCATATTTTTTGCATAATTAGCAATTAATTTGTATTGCCTGTGGATGAAGGGGATTATCTTAACATATATACATGTATTTCTTTGTGCAATATACTTTTACGTGTAAAAATGAGCAGCACTATGAGAAATTGATTTGTGGGTGCAATTTATATAACAGAATTGTTTATATTTTAACCATTTTATCTGCTTTTGGACTCCTCCTTTTAAAATAGAAGCACAATTTGTCCATACCCTTCTAAAAACAGGAAACAAAGTTTAACTGTTAAGATTCTTAATGAGTTTGATCAAACAAATCAAAATAAATGTGTCTTATTCATTAAATGCATGTACAAGTTTTAGTTGTGCCCTTTACAAGTTATGTCTCCATTGTTTCCATTTGAGATTTGTATTTTGTGCAAGAGTAAAATCATATATTGATGAAAGATTGTAAGAATACTTGAAGAATTGCATTGAAAACTGTGATAAGTTACGGTACATATTTTGTAAATAATAGTGGTACTGCTATAGCATGCTGTTGTGTTCAGTGAGAGAGTTCTTATGTATGAAAGAATGTTATTGTTGGGCTTCATTAGCAGGTCACCCGAGTTAAACAACATTTTGTATTCTCTGATCATGTAAATAGATATAAGAATACAGTATTTATGGTGCATTTAGATTTGACATGTTGTACTGTACACAAGATACAGTAAAACACGCTTATAATGAAGTGCCAGGGTTGGAAGATTTTGCTTCATTATTTATCTGTCAAGTTCACAATATGTTCTAAAGCCAATGGGAATGAATTCATTTCACTGTAAGCATCAGTATATTATGTGTGTTTGCTATAAGTGTGTTTTACTGTATACTTTGTATATTTCATTTGACAGAGATATACATGTATTATCTGTAATACATAATGCAAGAATATTAGGGTTGGTTAATTAATGTATAATACACATAATCATCTAAAATCATTAATCAATGGGCCTTTTTTTAGTAATTAAAAGAAAATATGAATGATTATTTTCTTTAATGTATACCATGGAGAATAAATGACCAAGTAATCATTTGTTAAAATTGGTCATATTCAAATTGTACATGTACTTTATATTTGATTCTGAATGTTTTTCATGAGAATCTAAATGAAAATACACATGTTAGGGAAGAACATGACATGTAAATTAATATAGAACGAATTAGATATATATATATATATATATATATATATATATATATATATATATATATATATATATATATATATATATATATATATATATATATATATATATATACAGGAAAATCTCTTGCTTTCAAAAAAAAAAAAAAAAAATCCATATACATTTTTAGTGTGAATTAGAAAATTTAGAAGGAAAACACTGAATATTTATACTTTAGATTCTTGATGGAATATCAAACATCTGAACTACTTGTATTACTGTAAACCAACTTTTATTCGCGTGCGAGAAATATTCGCAAGTTTCGCGACTTTCATTTACTCGTGAATATTAATCGCCGCGAATCATTTATTTTGCTTTGTATTTGTAGAGAATGTTTCCTCAGTCATGAAAATTAATCGTTGCAGATTGATTTCAAACTGATGAATCGTGAATAAAAGATGACGTGAATAATAGTTGGTTTACAGTATGTTGGCCTCAAGATATATAACATTTAAAACAATAGGCAAAGTTGACATCTTTTCTAGATTTTTGATAAACTTCAACTTGTGTAATAAAAATGTATATGTGTTATGATGTTATAAGGAAGGTTTATCCTTTCTTAACATGTAACCCCCCCCCCCCCCTTTATTGCTTTGCATAAAAACTTGAGTATTTATTTTGAACAAGTACATCAGTGTGTAGTGTCCTCGATGTACAAATGTACAAATTTGCTTTTATGCAATTGATATCGATAATAAAATGAATGGCTACAACAAAATTCATGATAACATTTTTTGGGTTACTTGAGTAACTTAGATGACCCATTGCTGTCTGTTTTCGTTGTGCATCTTGAGTTAACATTTGATTATTTTCAGCTTCTTCTCTGGAACCACTGTACCAATTTTAGCACATAACATCTATAGGTGAAGGGGAACAAAAATTTTGAATTTCATTGTCCCTGTCAGCCTTCTTCCCCCTCTGGGGCCTGAGGGGTTAGGACTAAAACTATCAATTTGAAAATTAGTGCAATCTTTAAAAAAATCTTCTTTACTCCTGGACATCTGGAAATGAAACTGTTTGCATGATGTAATGAGCATTGATCTAGGGCTGGGGTTCTGGTATTAGGATGGGCTCTATACATCTTATAGTAAAATGAATATATTCTTCAAATCTCTCTCTCTCTCTCTCTCTCTCTGTATATTCAGTAGACTAATGAAGTGCATAGTGGATGAGCAGAGGTGCCTCTTCCAAAATTGTGAATTTCTGGCCCCAGGGTCAGGGGTTTTTGTGATAGGGTTGGGCTCCATTGGTCATATAGCAAAAATGCATGAATTCTTTGAAAATCTTCTCTACTCCTATTATTAGGTAGACAAACGAAGTGCATGGTTATGACAAGCAAGGATTCCTCTTCCAAAATTGTGAAATTCATAGCCTCAAGTTAGGGATTATGATGTTAGGTTGGGGCTCTATTGATCATGTGAAATGCATTAATTCTTTGAAAATGTTTTTCTCTGCTTCTGAGCACGTATCAGCAGAGAAACTAAGTGAATGGTTAGAATGAGCAAACATGCTTTTTGTGAAATTAATGGCCCCTGGGTAAGGGGTTCTGGTTTTAGGGAGGGCCTCTCTTGATCATGTGAATAATTTCTTTAAAATCATGTGAATAATTTCTTTAAAAATATTCTTCTCTACTCTATTTAGAATACAAACTAAGTGCATGGCTATGATGAGCAAGAAAGCTTCTTTCAAAATTGTGAAATTCATGGCCATTAGTTCAGGAATTCAGGAGTTAGGTAAGGATATAATGATCATATAGAGAAAATGCATAAATTCTTTGAAAGTCTTTTATTTTTTTGAGTGCTGTAAAATCACATACATGTATTTTCGAGGGGTCAAATTTTCATGGTTTGAGGAAAAATTACTGGTTTGAGGCAATTTGATTTCGTGGTTCAAGGGGACACATTATACAGTTGTAAGACATTTAAACAAATCCTGGGGATATGAACTCATTGCTCTCTTCAACCACAAATACATGTGCAATGAAAATAAACCCTCACGAAAATTAATGATTTCACAGTATTATTAATTAGCAGAGGAGCTAGGTGCACAAGGGACAGAATGACAGACCATTGGACAGACAGACGAGGAGGAAACCTATACCCCCCCTCCCCCCGGTTTCACCGAAAGAGGACTCATATTCACACCAAATCATGTAAAAATAAACATCATGTTAGCTTGAATTAAACAAGCATTCTGAGAGTATTGCATAAGCAATACTTCATGTACTTCCCCACCGGAAAATGTGTAATCTGCATCCTTTTACAAATAAAAAGGCCGCAATTCCGTCAAAAATATACAAACTTGATCTATAACTCATCAAGGAAGACAACCATATCAAAAAATTACCTCAACATCTGCAAGAGTGCAGAAAAACAAGTGGGAGCCAAATTAATTGAAGCGGAACAATATGTGTAACTAATCAATTAAGGTACACTCACATACCGTAAATCAATTCAATATCTGCAAGCGATTAGGGAAAGAGTTCGAGAAACTAAGTGGGAAATTTGGTTCCCAATATAAGTTTAAAAGGCCGTAATTCCGTCAAAAATCATTGAAGTTGAACGAAATGCAAACTCGAGTCCAAGTCCCTCCCCCCCCCCCCCCTCCGACAACTTCGTTAGTATAGGGCAATTTCTCACTGAAGTAACAATCAAATTTGAAGCACTAATGAGGTATATTCTTTCTTAACAACTTAACTAGAAACAAGCATTCTGAGAGTATTGCATTAGCAATACTAGTCCCCTACCGGCAAGTGTAATCTGGTTCCCGTTAAAAATTGAAAATGCTATAATTCCGTCAAAAATCAATTAAGCGGACCAAAATGCAAACTTGATCTATAACTCATCAAGGTAAAGTCACATACCAAATATCAGCTCAATATCTGCGAGCGTTTAGAAAAAAAATGCGGAAAACCCTGAAAAATTGAAAAGGTCGTAAATCCGTCAAAAATCATTGAAGTGGGACAAAATGCAAACTTGATCTGTAACTCATCAAGATACACTCACATACCCAAAAATCAGCTCAATATCTGCAAGCGTTTAGAAAAAAAGTGCGGAAAACCAAGTGGGACAGACAGACAAAGGGACAGACGGACGGACAGACTCAGAGGAAACCTATAGTCCCCTCCGGTTTCACCGGTAGGGGACTAAAAGGGGGATGGCGGCTGTCATCATGTATGATTATCAATTTTAGTGGTCACAAAGCTAATATATACGAACGCTTGTAGATACGCTTAGGTAGCAGAAAAATGTGTAAATAAACTGGGGATTCGGGGGTACTTCAGGTGTTTTACGATATTCCAAAAAGGCTAACTGATGTGATTTTATTTATAATATTACCAATAGGCCTAGACCATGCATCTTTATACGTGGTCAATGTACTTATAAATGTGGTCGATGTACTTTAATGTCTAGTCAATGTACTTTATTGTCTAGTCTATCAAATTGGGATCTATTAAAAACGATAACTAATTGTTAAACAAATTTCTTCCAGTTCAAACCCAGGGTAGTAAACATATTTCTTCAATACAGACCTGAATAAAGAATAATAAACATGTTTGTTTTTTCACAGGAGTTTTTATTGTTGACTTCTTGGGTGCTAGACTGTTCGCCTTGGTATACACATTTTTGCCCCAAATCTCTATATTTAGAAACACATAATGTCTTTTATTAATTTTCAATCTAAAGTTGAAAATGATTACATGACAAATTTGTCATCATGTAATCATTTTCAACTTTAGATTGAAAATTAATAAAAGACAATATCTTGATTTACCCCTGTAATGCCCCAAGAATGTGAAAAAATAAGAATGCAGAAAGAGGCTTTACCTAGAATTTTTTTTAAAAAAGTTTTATAAGAATTCCAATATATGTCAGCAAAGAGGGGCACGATTAGTACGAAAGGGATTTCCAAGAGATTGTTGGCAGGTATGCTCTCCAAAGACTACATAGATATTGTCATTCAGGAACTCTACTAACCAGCATCTTTATATCAACTTCAGAGTTTAATGCTATACTATAACATACCGGTACCATACCATTCCATACCATATCAACTCTACTCTACTCTATATATTTTACTATACTATTACACACTTATCCACTGTCTTTGAGTGGGATAGCTTTTTTATCAAACCCATGGCAGGAACTACACTATCCCCGAGGGCTTAATGTTCTAGGGGAATATTTCTTTAAGGGAGCCGACTGGGGTTTTATTGTGTGAAAACTACTATGGAGAAATTCTTTAATTTTATACCATATGTATTGACTTCAGTATACATGCCAAGTTTAGTGAAAATCTACCGTCTGGTTATTTTTTAGGGACCATCTCAAAATACAGATACATTTACTACAGGATTATATAGGAAAATACTATTTTTTCGCACTACGGAGCAAATTATATAAATGCTACTACAGACTTTTTGCTCAAATAATATTATTTGATGAGTGATATTATACTGTACATTTTATGCAAGTAACACAAATTTCTACCATCTGGTTTCCAGAGGGGGCATCTCAAAATTCATGACATTTTCATGTTTTTTATGGAGTACTTCAAAACATGACAGATACACAGATTTAAATGAAAATTAATATAAATGATTGTCAGATTCTCAATTTCCTATGTTTAAAATTTCAAGAGCATCTATTTTATACTTTTTTATTTTATGACATAATTAATGACCCCTCGTAAAGAACTTCGGTATTC